ACCCCTAGGTCTAGCCTGAAGTAATGTGAAAAACAATCCGAGGCTCGTGCCTAGCGTCCTAGGACAAAAAAAAACCCCTAAAGCATAATTTATTTACTATTTTTCATTAAAATAACCATAATTAATTTAAAACTACATTAAATTACTCACAATTTAAGACTAAAATTTAATGGTGATTATAGGCCTAACACATTGAGAGATTTGCCTCTTCAAGGTTCCTAAAATCTTCCATAAATGCTTGTATTTTAAGTTTCAAGCTATTCAATTTTGTCAAATAAAAAAAACCATAATAAGAAATACATCAATTTATTTCATTTCAACATTAGATTGTTTTATAAATAAACTGTTAAAATGGAAACAAACCTATCGTATCTATCTACATAAACACACACGCACATTGTTACAATAAATGGTTCTCGTGGATAGAACAAAGGCCTGTGTAGAACGGTATTTATTGTATTTGTATTGTCGCGGGAGCAGGTTGGAGAACACTGAGGGCGATGGCGTCTGTGATTAGATGATCCTTGTACCTTTGGACATGTCTTACATCTTACATACGTCCTCTTCATCACAGTCGTAGAGACTGGAGAATCGTCATTTACTTATTTTTTATTTCTTCCTATAATAGCCCTATGTGCTAGTTGTGATCTTCATAGAACTCTTTGATGGTGTAGTATGGTCTTTGAAGGCGTTTTTAGCGCAACAGTAAATTTTTGTTGTTTTTTATTGTTTTGAGGCGTTGTGGCAGTAGGTTGTAGAGTTTTGCTCCCATTGCAGTTGGGGTTTTGTTGGTTTTATTTAGTCTGTTTTGTTGGGTGTTATAGTTTGATATTAATCTGGTGTTATGGTTGTGGCATGTTTTTCATGACTCGTCCTGTGGGGGTATCAGTTGAAGATTGACTTGTATGACTAACTTGAGACGTTTGGATGTGTGAACTAAAATTTAGTTTTTCGTTCAATAGAGCAAGGGTAATGGTGAAAATCCATGTGTGAAGAAGTGCTTTAATTCTTCATCCGACTGCTTCAGAATGCATAGCCTGTGAAACAGTGTGAGAGGGTCAATAGTCACCTTTATATTGCCAACAGTCACAGTATTAACTTCAGAAGAAAGAGATACTACTTAATTCTTCCTTTTGTATCTGACTTATTCAAGTTTTTTCTCATAAAACTCTCAACATCGCTTCCTTGCCAATATCTCTAGCTATATGACAGTTGACAGTTTCCCTCCAACAATTCCACTGCTTAAGAACATTATAACGTTAGTATTAGGGAATGGAGAGTGACAAAGTAACGAGTCACACAGCTTCTCTGTATCCGCTTCAACTCGAGTGACTCGTGAGGGTCTCATTTCTACATGCTGCTCAGTTGCATGTGCCTTAACATTGCAGTAAGCATACTCCTCAACCTCAGCACTTATATTCTACAGATAAATTATATCATTCCTAGTGTCCATCGGGTGAGCACGGTGTCAGTTATACCACGGTCCCGAGTCAAACCTACATAACTTTTCATTAAGCAAATGAGTACCTGCTCTATCGTCATGTCCGTCAAAACACCCATCTAGAACTTTTCAGAACGCACCATGGTGAAGAACCTGTTGGTTGTAAAATAGCTGGTGTTTGTTGAAATTTATCTTGTTTCCTACTTTCAACATATCCTGCAGGTACAGATGCGAAAACTTGGCATAAAAGAAGTAATATGTAGCATGGCAGAACGACAGCAAAGTTAAAACCTGTTTTCACTGTTGCCTCTTCATTCTTTCTATCAATTCCTCTTGATAGTATCTATATATTAATTTGAAACTGTTTTTCTTTGTAACAGCTATTTTGAGAGAACGGCTGGGCGTAGAAACTCGGTAGAGGTGTCAAAAGAAAGGTCCTGGTCTGTAGATGAGCCATCAAAAGAGAAACATGGAGAATTTCCTCGGGGCTCTGCCCCAGTGGCCTTTAAATTCCCATCCCATGTTATTCTTATGGAGGAAAACGAGGTTTTTGTCACAGCTAATTTGAGAGAACGGCTGGGCGTAGAAACTTGGTAGGGGTGTCTAAAGAAAGGTCTTTGTCTGTAGATGAGCCATCAAAAGAGGAAAGAGGTAAATTCCCTTGGGGCTCTGCCCCAGAGGCCTTTAAAGTTCACTCTGCAATTTTGTTTACATTACGACCATATGGATAATTTTACACTACTTTTAATGAACCAGCTGTTAATGTTAAAATTGTATTCAAAGGTCTACTGAAACTGTCAAAATTAAATGTATACATTATTATTTATGATTTTAAATGGATTCTCCACTGCATGGCAAGTTTTTTATAGTTTCAACAAAATGATGAATTTATGATACGTTTTCAAAAATTTATGCTTTATTGCTCTTAGAAAATTTTAAATTATGAAATAAGTGTGATATATCAATTTCAAAGGAACATATATTCCTTATCGGGTTAGCTTATATATATATTGTAAGGTTGGCACTTGCCTTTTTTCCTACTTTAAATCACCATTTATTTTTAAATTCAAGAAAGAACACCAGCGATTCATTTATTGGTATAAAAGTTTTTGATAATCGGGTTGAAAATTGTGTCATAGATGAGTACGTTGAGGATGAGAGCTGTGTTCAAGTTTTGGAATAGACTAACTACGGAGTCTATGGTTTTGGTGAAGTAGGTGAACTAATGTCAATTCAGGTATTTAAAAAAAAATGTGTACACGGTTTTTACTTTGATGTACACATTTAGCTAGGTCGAACAACGCATCTAAACCTCACTACATACAAAACATTCGGAAACACAACAGTGTCATCACATCTCATCGCATTTGCATAATTTGTTACCAAGGCTATGGATTTGGCTAGGTTATGGATTTGGTTCCGCAAATGTTCAAGATTTGTGATCAAATTTCCTACAATTATGGTTCATTCCATCCACGAAATACATGCACAGCTTTATGTGATCGATATGGCCAAGGCAAAACTACCCCATAAGTTAATGAATTATCAAGTAAGAATAGGATGATTAAATACAGGAATTAAAATTGCTGAGATTGAAGTAAGAATGTTACTGCTTTTTGGAGAATCAGATATTTTTATCAAATACAAAAAAAAACTAATTTAATATGCTGATAGAATTCTGTATTTTTATGACCAAAGATGAAGATTTACTTATAAATCCGGATACAATCTGAATGATTTGCCTGAAGCAGATGGAATTAGTGGTTAGTAATAAATATTGACTCTTTCCGTAACATGATAGACCGTATATGAACTCATTCTCCCATATAGTGAAAGTGGCTTTGGCATGAAACAAACTCATGAACAAACAATTGTAAGACTCCTAAAAAACCTTTTGGGCAACCTAAAGCCAATAAAAAGGCAGGAAACATTGTGTTAAACGAATTCTTCAATCACGTTTTTAGGGAACACAATCATCATAATTATTATTGCTTATCCTCCCTTCATTTAACTAAGATTTTAATGACTTCACTCTATCTATCGCAGTTAGCTGAATTTACATAAAACCTCAAGATTAACCGTCGATTTCGACGGGGTTCCACTAGTTAACATTTAAATTATAATAGATTTGTTCCATAAAAAAACTTATAATCTGTTTTTGAAATGAAATAAATTTGTTTATTTCATATTATGGTTCTTTTATAAAATTTGACCAAATTTAATAGCTTGAATCTTAAAATACAAACATCTATGGAATATTTTATGAACCTTGAAGAGTCATATACCTCAATGTGTTAGGTCTATATTCACCATTTTGGTCTTATATTGTTAGTAATTTAATGTAGTTTTAAAGTAATTATGGTTGTTTTAATGAAAAATAATGAGAAAGATATGCTTTAGGGTTAACGTTAGCAAAACTTTAAAAAAGTTCAAAATTTATAATTTTAGCCGTTGTTTGCTGAGTCATCTTGAAAGCTATTAGGCCTGTAATAACCATTTTGGTCTTAAATGATAGGTAATTTAATGTACTTTAAAAATGATTGTGGTTGTTCTTTATGAAAAAGTGATGCTTCAGGGTCAAAATTGGACAAACACAAAAAAAGTGTGAAATTCCGCCAATTTTTAAGCTTTTTGGAGGTGATCCGGAAGGTCGCCGAGGTCGAAAATTTGGATTTAGCATCTCGGTACTATTAAAAACAACATTAAAAAAAGAAACCTACTACCCCATTTCATGCAAGGTAGACCCTGGTTTTTATAACAAGGTTACTGAGTTAATATAAATATGCGGTCATTTAGTGGTGCAATGATTTATGTGCAATTAATTGTTTTTTTCAATACTTTGTTTGAGCATAATACATTAAGTTTTATCATTGCGAAGTACATGAGGATATGAGCAAGATGATTAAGTTTAAACTATCCTCTACAATGTAGCTTAGCCCATCTTCCCATGTAGAATGCAATTGGAAACTCGTGTGTAAATGGTCATTCACTGCACGAGTTGGAGGTTTTCAGAGTGGTGATGCTTACTGTTGTAGTAGAAAAATTTGGGGCCCTATCAGTATTGCTTCTTTGGAAAAAGAAGAGTGGAAACGCTGTTCCTGCTCCACTACACCACTGGTTCACTGGTGCATTCAAACTTCTTTTATTGTATCATTACTTAGTGTACTACACACACATTGTTTACATTTGTATCATTTAAACATTTAGTGTAAATGATACGAATGTTATTAGACATATTTGTATGTACTTTCAGTAAATTTAAGTATCAATTGTACCAAGCTGACGTAAACATGGTGAGGCAAAAGCACTGTAATACCAGGATTTTTTTTCAATTTTAACACTAGTTGTTTAAATCTGTTTTGAAATGATGGTTATTGATATTTGAACTATTCTTGTTCTTCCTTTAATTTGCTAATTTTCTGTATTTAGTTCTTAAGTAAAAATTAAAAAAGACTAGCATTCTTTATGATTTCATTTTTTTCTAATTTATGTACTATGTCAAACAAAGTTAGTGCATTTAAAAATGTTAAGTTTTTATGGAATTAAAATACCAAGCAACTATGAGATCACCTTTATTCATAGAAAAATATGTGCTAGATATACTCAAATATAATAAATATACACATTTAACAAGTTCCAATACTCTGAAGAGTCCCCAACATAGTAAGCAGCTCCAAGAGCAAGTGAGTGAGTTATCTACCAAGCAAGGCCGAGGGGTGTAAGAGGTCTAGACTCTGAGCCTTCACTTAACATCTCGTAGCTGTCATCATCACTCTGAGGGAACTTTTCTTTCTGATTTATGTCGTAAATCACCTCCAAAGGTGAGGAGAATGTTGCACGCTTGCTGTTCCTTGACTGTTTAAGACTCTCAGAGCTGCTGACATTACTTTCACTCTTACCAGTTGGAAAGAGACCTAGTGAGTTTGCAATATCAGCCTTTAATGAAGAGCTGATATTTAATTGACTTAAAGCTTCTAGAAGTTCTTTATCCTCCACTTTAGAGCACAAAATTTTCTCTTCTGAACCTCTGTAGGTAACCCCATAATTGTCTTTGTCCAAGCCGTCATCATTTGGGATTCCAAGTTCTAGTTGCAATTTGTCCACTTCCTCTTGCATTCTCCTCTAAATACAAACAGTATTTTTGTTTATGTTTATGAAATAAATACTTTGGCTATAAAAAACAGGTTGGTGATGCAAGCAGAAATACAGGGTGACAATTAAGTCTGGAACCTCTTTTTTTAATTTTAAAACCACAATAGGAAAAAAAATACCAAAGTTCACACGTCCTTACTGGTGATAGTACCGCACACATCTGCCCAATTACCGACCGGATAATCCCTTTGAGGGATGGTCCACAAGGACTCAGACAAAATTCTTAGGCAGCATAGGTCGAGTTTGGTATCAAATTAAAGGTCTTCGTTAGTAAAATACATTGACACAAACCCGAACTCAAACGGACTATGTAGTTAAAAATGATAGATGTTCAAATATTCCTTATATTTGCAATCTATCTTTATATTAATAGGCAAGCATGTTTTTTTAAAACCTTTTTTCTCAGCTCGTGTGCATCATAGGGAAAATATATGCATACTGTTAGAAAGATATTTTCCTGTAGATGTGCAGAATCCCTTTAAAAATTAAAATAGGCTCAAAAATAAGCACAAAAAATGAATTTGAAATTAAAAAAAATTACATGGGCTTTATGGGTTGTCATGCTGGTAACGAAATAACAACGAAATACAAACATAAAATCAAAACAAATGTAAGAAATTTTAATCACATGTTTTATTTACAGTGTGGGTGAAAAATAGAGTAGTCTGTACAGTGTAATTGGATTTTTTTTAGCTAGAATCGATCAAAGGAATCTCTAACAGAGATATATAGAGATCTATGGTCAAAGGTAGTGGTGGAATATCTTTGAAGATGAACCTTTTTAGTCCGATCATGTGATTATACGTGTCAAATTTTGAGGTTAAATCAAAACAAACAAACTTGCATAATATATTCTTTTAATTGAAAATAGTTAAATATACTTACTCAACATTTCATTAAAATGTTGAATAATGATTTTAATATATGAAGTAATTTAATTTAATAAAATCGCTTGGTCATTAGATAATATTTACTGTGGAATACAGACGTGATTCCTTATTCCAAATCAACTAATGAATAAATTGTTATTTAATTATTGTCTTCAAATTAATTGATGGTTGCTCTTAAAATAATTAATTTAACATGAGCAAATATTAAAATATTGAATCTTCTTGCAAAATAAATGTCGATTATTATTTTAATAGAATAGTAGTTGCTGTGACTGGGATACACATCATAAACTGTAGGGGCATAATGACGATTTACGTTTCTTTTGGAAATATCTTAAGACCCAGACCCACCTTTCAAAGGTTTCAAGTTAGGGGTCAGAATTATATACTCTCGAGATAAACCTTTATAGGCTAACGTTTTGAGTTTTGGCCCATAATAGGCCAAGGAATCAAGATTCGAGTTTGGTTTATAAAATGCAGTGGCCTAATTACTGAATGTTTTCTAATAAATGAGACAATGACATAAACTAAGTTAATTTATTTGACCTTAAATGAACATTATTTTGTAGGTAATACACTATTGTCCCTAATTGACAATATGCCAGTTTGTTTGTTTTGATTAAACCTCAAAAATTGACATGTGAACATTGAACACGTCATGATCACACTCACTACAGCCAAAAAGGTTCATCCTCAAAGATATTACAACATACCTCAACCGCTTATGTTTGGCTAAAAAATCCAAATGTAGACCTACATATTTTTGGTCGAGTTTTCGACCACTGGACAGTGGACGACCTCTAGTGATTATTATACTGTGAGGCGCCCACTAGAAGTCGGATGAAAATCATAAACGTAAGCATAGGTCGATATGCACATCACATCAGGGTCTTTATTAGTAGAATACAATGCTGCAAATTTTAGCTCAAAATATCAGCTGGGTAAAAAATGGCAGCCGTTCAAAGATTCAAAATAGCAGATTAAAGAAATATTTGAATGGTTGCCATTTTTGACTTCATTGTCCATTTGATTTCGGATTTGTGGCATTGTATTTTACAAACGTAGACCTTTAATTTGATACCAAACTCGACCTATGCTGAATTTTGTCTGACTACTTGTGGTGCGACCCTCAAAGGGGATATCCAGTCGGTAATTGGGCAGATGTGTGCGTTACCATCACCAGTAAGTACGTGTGAACTTTGGTATTTTTTTTATTGTGGTTTAACATTTTAAAAAGAGGTTCCAGACTTAATTGTCACCTTGTATACATTTGTTTATGAAGGTGATGAATTATCCCTAAAAAGTGACTCATTTTACATAACATAAAGTAAAGACAATAAATTGTTTGAGGCCAAACTTTTTTTAAAGCTAAATTTAAGAAAAAAAAATGCTATAAGGTCTTAAGTTGAATTTGACCTAGTATAAGCTTGTACAATTGCTTGTGATAGTTCATCAAGGGAGATATTGTATTGTGGGGCTTGAAAGATTGTCAACAATTCATTATTATCTGCCCACACTTTATTTTTGATAAATTTCAATTAAAGCTTTACCATATTTTATGAGTTGTTAAATAAAACTCCAGCAAAAAGGAAAAATTTATAAAATGCAAAGATTACGTTTATTAACTCTGAAAGATTTGCGATTCTGCCACATAGTTACTTGCTGCAAATTTACAATGAACATACGGAAGGAGAGTTAATCAAACTTACTCATAATCATTGAAGGACATATTATAAAATGATTTTTTAACTCACCATGTCAAGAAACTGTTTATTAACCTCTACGTGATTTTGGAAAATCTTCTTTAATGCTTTATTTGTAAATATTCCTTTTTCTAATACTTCTTCTGTAATATCTCGAACAAACTTGATATACATCAAGTTATCAGAGCTGGAAAAAAATTAATTAATTATGACAGCAAAAGGTTTACATTTACTGCAACATTGACGTTTTACTAAAACTAATACAGCTAATTAAGGTAAAATATGTGCTGATAATTTGGCGTATACCCTACTGAATTAGTAAATCATACGACATATGGTTGTAAAACTACTGTATTTCGATTAGACAGGATTCAAAATCAAAATTATTTTTTCACTCATAAACATCTTAAAAAGTACAAAGATAAGAGTGTCGTCATAATAAAAAGTAAAACTCCTTAAAATTTTTAGGAGGTATGTTTTTTGGATTGTTGGTGATACTTTTTGGTAGTTTATTAAAACGCTTTATATCCATGTATTTAGGTGTATATTCAAAAAGATGTGGTGTCTATGTATTGGGAACTGATATAAATGTTGCTGACGTGTGGAATAATTATGTGCAAATTTAAACTTGTTGAAACAATGTATATTGTTAATTAGTAGGTTAATCATTTCAAAAATGTACCAACTTGTGACGGTTAAAATCACTAATCTTTTAAAAAGAGGTCTACTGCTTTTTTTCTTAGACACTAACCATGGACAAAACATACTCCCTTGGAAGATTTCTCATCCTTATGGAACAGCTGAAGCCCATATTATTGTTAGTTCTGTCCGGTGCACTGCAGAGGTCGTGTTTTGTTTACAATTTGTTTTCTTGTTATTTCAGTTGTTTAAAACCTTGTTTAATCAAATAAAACAATATAATCATAAACAATAACTCGTCCTCTAGTTATATAACCAAACGAAACAGTAAAGCCCAAATCATTAAATTAACCCTAAGATAATAGAAACAAAATTTAGTCTATACCAGCGGTTAGTGTCACCGGACATGAAATAGACATGAAAAACGAGCTTCAAAATTTACAACGGGATGACAAGTCTACTTGTGTTTGGTTAGTCTATGCTTTAACCATGGTCCGTACGATTGATTTTTGTGTGTTAAGAAGTTTATTTTTATTTTGAAACTCAATCCCCAGAGTACTATACCATACCTAATTATAGAATCAGTATAGGCACAATATACTAATTTACATACTTCCAGAGATGTTGCATCAATTATAACACTTATAGCATAGCAAAAAGAAAATAATTTGTTTGTTAGATATTGAATATTATCTCCCCAATTTCATTTTTGATCAATATGTATTCATATTTTTATTCCTGTATTTATATTTTTATGTGTGAATATTATAGTTCTGTTGACTTAAGTATTTTTTTCCCTGTTTGAATATAGTTCACAGAGAAGATTTAATTTTGTCTTCTCTGTGAATAGGTTTAACGTTGCCAAATAACATTTAAAGTGTTGCAAATTGTTATTGATTAACTAAAATCAAAGTTTGCATATGATGGTTTGAATAATAAATTCTCTTTAACGCAAAGAAATGTATAACATAGAATATAAAATATGAACTCTGTTCTGTTTAAAATAAGGAGGAATTGGCATTTATAAAGATCACCCAACTTCGATGGATGTAATTTAAAACTTATTATATCTGTCACATGATAATATTACATATTTGATTGAAAATGAATGCAACGTATATCCTTATAACATATAGCTACGGTGTATTGGATAATAAATGTGTGGCCTTTTTATCCAATAAACAGCAGTCTCGGCTGAGCACGCTCCATTGCAGCTTCATATAATTCTTCGTAGCTAAGAAAGTAATTCTTTTATCGAAATCTAATCGATACTACAGTTAAATTAGAACCTTTCCCTAAAACTTTCCTGCAGGTCTGACAAACCTGACCAAATAATATGTGATTTGGTAGCCGACTAACTTTTTTGTGTTAGTATGAAAAAGATTAAAGTTTGTTCGATGGTTTAATGGTTTTTATTTGAAATAAACTAATAAATTTAAATGATACCCATCCTATGTTTATAGTCCACAACTATGCAAAGTTTCAGGATTTTTTCTCGGATCTAACTACAGTAGAACCTTGGTTAACCGAGGTAATTGGGACCGAGGGTACCTCGGATACGGCGAACCTCGGATAACACGGAACGTAACCTAAAAATCGTTACCGCCCCTAAAAATAGCTCAAGATATACTAAAACATGAACAAAAGTTATTAACTGAACTGTTGTTTAGTTTATTAGTACAAGAAATGTTATTAGTACGCAATAAAACGTGAGAGGAAACGGTAACACTCACAATACTAAACACTGTTTTAATATAACACTCAATTTATTGCACAACTGAATACGTATGATATAGGCTACACAATGTACAGAAGTTTAGTTACAGTACAGTATTCCTGTTTACAAAATTAAATCAAAGAAATGAAAATTAATTTACTGTACATTGTACAAAAATAAACAAAGTAAGCTAATCTTTTTTCCCAAAGAAATCAGTTATTGTTTTTTGACTTAGATTAGAGGATCTTAGGCTAGCCGCCCTGTTGCGCCAGCGTCGCAGCCAAACTAAATCGTTTGTTGTTGTGGTTTCTTGTTGTTCAATGTATGCCAGTCACTGAGCTAAAATTATAACTGGAGGTAGCACTGCCATTGCAGAAGTCTGTCAAAAGCGTGTCGCTGATTTTGTTAGGTTGGTATAGCAGCAGGTTTTTCATCCAATAACATGGCTTCTATAACTAGGTTTCCATAGCAGTGAGTTTTTTCATCCAATAACATGGCTTCATTTTAACTCACACCTCACGCAAACATGGCGGCTGGCGACACGCATCTTTGACATTCAGTGCTACCTCCAGTTAGAATTATAGCTCAGTGATGCCAGTGCTCCCTCGATCATTCTTAGACCTTCTGTATGTGATATTTTCTCAGTCGCCCCATCAGATTCATCGCTGTAAAAAAAACTTTTGTCGAATCGGGGTGGTGGGAAGAGCGAGTGGCTCAGTCGGGTCTCGGCATTGAAACAGTTCGCATTGGTCCGGCGGCGAGCGGTGTCGGGTTACAACACCTGCAGCTGCTCTGGCGAGCGGTGTCGGGTGACAGTGCCGTATGCATTCGGCAAAGATAAGCGCTAAGCTACGCAAATATTTGGCCGAGGAAACACAACAGTTGCCAACATTTTACTGTACAGTAGTTTTAACGCATTGCAGGCTAGCGTGCGTATTGCGATAAAAGGAGCACCCAAACGCTCATTACTGTACGTAGTTTGTGCGTGTTTCTTTTGCTTTTTAAATAAAAAAAATCGTTCGAGGACGGCCTCGGTTAACCCGGAGTCTCGGTTAAGCGAGGCTCGGTTAACCGAGGTTCTACTGTATTTAAAATTACGATTTTATTAGCTAGCAGTGTCACTGCTCGATATGGTCGCGAGGCTGTTTGCGCCCAAGGTGACGTCACGATACCCCGCCCTGCACCAACCTCACCCAGCTACGATGCGCAGTAGCAAACCTGTCTTACTTCCACCATGGATAGCCCTCCCAAGGAGTCATACTAACTACTGCAAGGTGAATTTCCTACTGGCGATCGCGCTAAATGTCTACAGAAATTCATTCCAGGAATGTTTTGACTGTTATGTTGTATAATGCCCAGTAAAATCCTGATAATCCAGGATCCTATTACCTGGTACTAATGATCTGGCATCGATAAAAGGGTGTTTTTATACTAATAAAGCCTTCCAGGGGTGTTTGGCGGAGTTTGCAGCCCAACATTTAGGGAGTCTACATCAAATCAAACCAAATCAAATATGCTTCATTCATAAAGTAGCCTACAGTTTTTTACATTGAATGGCGTCAACTAAATCTATCTTAAATTAATAATTTACAAATTTGCATATCTTAGACCATTATCTACATTAAAAACCAGGAACCAGTAAATGAAAATAATCAAAACTAAGTCAATTATCAACTAACACTAAGAGAAAAATACTCTTCCAGGGAATAAAGCGCTTTCTCCACTAAATAAAGTTTTAGTTTTCTCATGAAATACTTCCTGCTTTGTTCATTTCTGATTTCACTTGGAAGATGCTTAAATTTTTTTTTCATAGAATTTTAATTTATGTTTACTTGAAACAAGGATTTTTTTATGCTGAGTGTTGTATGGGTGATAATTTGTCTCAGAGGTGCTCAAGCGGTTTTTTGCTAGAATAATTGTCGTAAATAAATTGTCAATATACTGTTAAAATTTTCAGTTCTTTGAATTTGTTTTTGGTTGTTTTGTTGTGTTCTAATTTCAAAATCATTCTGATTGCTAATTAAATTTGCTAAAGCTAAAATTATATATGATATTGATTAATAAGGACAGGTATCCTCAGTAAAATAGTATCAATATGTTGATCGTCTTTAAGACATTTAGTCAGTATTTCTGTTAGCCTCACAAACAATGTTTGTTACTCTCAGAAATCTGGCTCTGCTTAAGTTGTTAGAATAGCGAAACTGAGTGTTTATTGTATTTGTAAATTTAACAAATAAGTTGAAAATGTTAATTAAATAAGTTGTTATATCTAACCTTGTAACTCTATGGGTATCAGACACTGGTGTTGGGCCTCTACTCTCTCCACCAGACCACATTCCTTCACCTTCTTCTGTATACGCCGAGTCCTTGAAAATAAATCACAAGTCATTAGATATTAACCTTGTAACTCTATGGGTATCAGACACTGGTGTTGGGCCTCTACTCTCTCCACCAGACCACATTCCTTCACCTTCTTCTGTATACGCCGAGTCCTTGAAAATAAATCACAAGTCATTAGATATTAACCTTGTAACTCTATGGGTATCAGACACTGGTGTTGGGCCTCTACTCTCTCCACCAGACCACATTCCTTCACCTTCTTCTGTATACGCCGAGTCCTTGAAAATAAATCACAAGTCATTAGATATTAACCGTGTAACTCTATGGGTATCAGACACTGGTGTTGGGCCTCTACTCTCTCCACCAGACCACATTCCTTCACCTTCTTCTGTATACGCCGAGTCCTTGAAAATAAATCACAAGTCATTAGATATTAACCTTGTAACTCTATGGGTATCAGACACTGGTGTTGGGCCTCTACTCTCTCCACCAGACCACATTCCTTCACCTTCTTCTGTACACGCCGAGTCCTTGAAAATAAATCACAAGTCATTAGATATTAACCTTGTAACTCTATGGGTATCAGACACTGGTGTTGGGCCTCTACTCTCTCCACCAGACCACATTCCTTCACCTTCTTCTGCACACGCCGAGTCCTTGAAAATAAATCACAAGTCATTAGATATTAACCTTGTAACTCTATGGGTATCAGACACTGGTGTTGGGCCTCTACTCTCTCCACCAGACCACATTCCTTCACCTTCTTCTGTATATGCCGAGTCCTTGAAAATAAATCACAAGTCATTAGATATTAACCTTGTAACTCTATGGGTATCAGACACTGGTGTTGGGCCTCTACTCTCTCCACCAGACCACATTCCTTCACCTTCTTCTGTATATGCCGAGTCCTTGAAAATAAATCACAAGTCATTAGATATTAACCTTGTAACTCTATGGGTATCAGACACTGGTGTTGGGCCTCTGCTCTCTCCACCAGACCACATTCCTTCGCCTTCTTCTGTATATGCCGAGTCCTTGAAAATAAATCACAAGTCATTAGATATTAACCTTGTAACTCTATGGGTATCAGACACTGGTGTTGGGCCTCTACTCTCTCCACCAGACCACATTCCTTCACCTTCTTCTGTATATGCCGAGTCCTTGAAAATAAATCACAAGTCATTAGATATTAACCTTGTAACTCTATGGGTATCAGACACTGGTGTTGGGCCTCTGCTCTCTCCACCAGACCACATTCCTTCACCTTCTTCTGTATACGCCGAGTCCTTGAAAATAAATCACAAGTCATTAGATATTAACCTTGTAACTCTATGGGTATCAGACACTGGTGTTGGGCCTCTACTCTCTCCACCAGACCACATTCCTTCACCTTCTTCTGTATATGCCGAGTCCTTGAAAATAAATCACAAGTCATTAGATATTAACCTTGTAACTCTATGGGTATCAGACACTGGTGTTGGGCCTCTACTCTCTCCACCAGACCACATTCCTTCACCTTCTTCTTTATATGCCGAGTCCTTGAAAATAAATCACAAGTCATTAGATATTAACTGCAATTTGGGTATCAGACACTGGTGTTGGGCCTCTACTCTCTCCACCAGACCACATTCCTTCACCTTCTTCTGTATACGCCGAGTCCTTGAAAATAAATCACAAGTCATTAGATATTAACCTTGTAACTCTATGGGTATCAGACACTGGTGTTGGGCCTCTGCTCTCTCCACCAGACCACATTCCTTCACCTTCTTCTTTATATGCCGAGTCCTTGAAAATAAATCACAAGTCATTAGATATTAACTGCAATTTGGGTATCAGACACTGGTGTTGGGCCTCTACTCTCTCCACCAGACCACATTCCTTCACCTTCTTCTGTATACGCCGAGTCCTTGAAAATAAATCACAAGTCATTAGATATTAACCTTGTAACTCTATGGGTATCAGACACTGGTGTTGGGCCTCTACTCTCTCCACCAGACCACATTCCTTCACCTTCTTCTGTATACGCCGAGTCCTTGAAAATAAATCACAAGTCATTAGATATTAACCTTGTAACTCTATGGGTATCAGACACTGGTGTTGGGCCTCTACTCTCTCCACCAGACCACATTCCTTCACCTTCTTCTGTATACGCCGAGTCCTTGAAAATAAATCACAAGTCATTAGATATTAACCTTGTAACTCTATGGGTATCAGACACTGGTGTTGGGCCTCTACTCTCTCCACCAGACCACATTCCTTCACCTTCTTCTGTATACGCCGAGTCCTTGAAAATAAATCACAAGTCATTAGATATTAACCTTGTAACTCTATGGGTATCAGACACTGGTGTTGGGCCTCTACTCTCTCCACCAGACCACATTCCTTCACCTTCTTCTGTATATGCCGAGTCCTTGAAAATAAATCACAAGTCATTAGATATTAACCTTGTAACTCTATGGGTATCAGACACTGGTGTTGGGCCTCTACTCTCTCCACCAGACCACATTCCTTCACCTTCTTCTGTATACGCCGAGTCCTTGAAAATAAATCACAAGTCATTAGATATTAACTGCAATTTTCCCCCAGCGACAAACTTTAAAGTTTTTTTGTGTATTAAGACAACTAGGTAGTTTTTTTTTTTTTAATTAATTAAAGACTACACTCTTTAATTGTTAAAGCATAGAAGCCTAGTTATATTTAAATATTAATTTAATTTTTAAATCCCAACAGGCCTACAGTACAACTTATATGATACTATACATTCTGGTGCAACAACAGACTATGATTATATTAATTGAAAAAAATACTTTGAATTAGATTTAGCTTTTACCTAGGCTATAAATAATACTACTGTAAGATTCAAACTGTAATAAATTTGTTTATTTATGATCTTGCCCTTTATATCTTAAAAAAACCCCACTACCTAAAATTCAATAATCATAATCACAATACCAGATTTAAAAATAGTTCCTTGTTAGAATCACATTGTCTGAGTAAGACTAGCAAGAGCCACATAGTGTTATCAACTAAAGTATATAACCTTAAAACACAATATTGATGCTTATCCGCAAGAAAAATTTAAGTCCTTGTTTTATAATTAGCTATTAGACAACACTTCTTATAGCCTGAACGATTTGTTCAAATCTGGCCAAATATACAAAAATATAGCTACCATACCAAGGACCATTATAGGACTATTCACATTTCGATACTGACCGTAGGCTTTGCCCCTTTGGCTTTAAAAGTTCTGACGTGAACATTTTAAAAGTTAATATTGATTGGTCTCCATGGCTGTGATGAGATCACTAACAATGTTTGTTTACATTTGCTTTGACATTTATATGTAAACAAGAAGAACTGCTAAACTGCATATTTTACAATTTCAGACAGCTGATACAAAGAAATTAAATATAATGTTTTCCATAACTATGAGGTAGGTTTATTTTAATCTAACCTTTTATCATGGATTATTTATTCTAAAACTATGTGAATGATTATAGAAAAAAATATTCTATAACCGTTGCTGTATCAACTCCGGCTCTGCTTTGGATTTTTTAAAGCGTTATGAAAATAATGTTATTGATATTTTTTCATGGAAACAGTATTAAAATTACAAAGTATAGATGTTTTATATGAATTTGGAGGCTACTTAAAATAAATTCTAACTGCTTAACATGTGTTAGATTAACTTAACATAACTTGCACATCACATTGTTTTTTTATGTATATTTAGGTAAATTAAGTTATTGTGTTTTGCTAAACCTATGCTTAAATTAAACTAAAGAATATCATCAATAACTAAATTGTACGTTGATTTTTGTTTTCTAAAATCTGTTGTATATATGTAACTATATTTAATTATCAAATGCTAATACAAAATACTTTTATTTTATCTTAACATAGCTTTCAGTTATCATAAAACTAAGCAGTACACAGTGTTCGTTTGTTTCTAAAATCAATGAGATATCTGTTACTATGTTTACTTAATGGTAAGTGTGAAATGTAAAGGCAATGGACGATGGAACTGATTAAAAGAACGAGTTTGTATATTAAGTTGTTTGTTGATATTTTTGTAGAGTAGAACCAGAAATGCAATAAAACATATACTGTATTTGCTATTACATTTTTTAGTCCTTGATGCTTTGATAATCATATTAGTTTTGTCTGCTGTCTTTAATGCTAAATTATTTGTTTAATTTTTTTTATAGTAGGCTACCTATAGATATAGTTTCTTTAATACTTCTAAAAACTGTATTGATAAGGCACAGCAATATTTATAAAGTTTATAACAGCTGACTTAGTTTTGCTAATGATTTAATTGTGAGTGAAGAAACTCAAGATGGAAGGATTTGTGATCTATACTTATAAAAGGCAAAGCCCTCACTGACTCACTGACACACTCACTCATCACTAATTCTCCCACTTCCCATTTACCTAGGAGGCTGAAATTTGGTACATTGATTCTTTAGGAATTAAATAGGAAAACTAAGGTGTTTTTATTCTGATCGGACTCTCGGGCTCCGCCCCAGTGGCTCTGGAGTTTCCCATGTTAGCCTTATGATTTTTCATATTTAAAAGGAATTAATGAATCTTAACAGCTGTTTCAATTAAACAAGTTGGTTCTGTTCTATGATGTTCAATAGCATTAAAGTTACAAGGATTACCAACAGGGTGCAGCACTATTATTTATTTTAATTTATGACAACAGCTAATTTGCAACCAAAAGGTGAGTGAGCGTAGCGAACGAACTTCAACCTGGAGACGAGTTAGCGTAGCGAACGAGCTAACCTGAAGGCAAGTGAGCGCAGCGAACGAGCTCCAACCTAAAGGTGAGTGAGCGTAGCGAACGAACTTCAACCAGGACGTGATTGAGCCATGCGAACGAGATCATCTTGAAAATTAAGAAGTTAAACGGGGCAAAGCCCGCGGGTACAGCTAGTTTAATATAAAGAAGAGTGACATTTAAAAAAATGTTCATTTAAATTTAATAATTAGTATTTTTGCAACTTCAAAATTGAAATTTAAAATGTCAATAATAAATTAAAAGATATGTAAGATGAAGGTAAATCATGTATGTCAATGTTTTATTCGAAGATTTGGTAAGTTTTTCTCATATCAGCCTACACAAGATTTAAAATTAATCAAAACCAAAATGGTGGTATCCACTACTTACCAGATTTAAATGTCATATAACTTAAACGTTTCTATTAAGGCTATAAAAGTTGAATTTTGTTTCTAAAAGCGTTGGCGGATGTGCAACTATTATTTTATGCAACAGATGTAAAGATTAAAATGTTTCTATTTTTTGTCCTCTTCCTGTTGCAAAGCACGGGTACAACAGCTAGTTTGTACATATTTTAGTTATTAAGCCCTATTGTTTTTCCAAAATATTGAAAGTGTTTTGATTTTGTTTTGTTTGACGATTGATGTATAATCATGATTTTGACTTTGTCGATGATCTGATGTATCCTTATGACAAATAAAGATTTTTATTATTATTATTATTAATTATATATTATGTTTCTTGTATATATCAAACAATAGAGTTTCATAAAAACATCCACTTACAACTATTTATGCAAATATAATCCAACAAAATCTGTTGAAAGCTGTTGCTGCAACCTGCGAGTTAAGTTTGGAACTACTATATTTGGGCTTTGGGTTGATCATTGTTGTTAGTGTGGTAGACTGTTATTAGTACACAGCTCCGGTGTTAGGTTACAGGATGAATGATAAAATAAATGGTATTAGCGATCTGACACTCCCATTAGGATTAGCTTTCCCACACCCTTATCATGGCCAAGCGGTGGGAGAAATTATGGTATTTTAAGGGTTGAATCACATATGTTGTAATAACTCTTAAACCGTACTTTTTATAACAATGGGAGCTGTACCATTCTGTTTAGAATTATAAGAACCATAAAATACTAAACTTTAGGTGATTGAATTTTTCTGTTATTTTGTTTTTTCATGGGAATATTGTGGATTAGTACAAACCAAATCCATCTAAATCGGACCACAGTTGTGGTATGTATCTCTGTACAGACATACAGAAGGCACACATATATACACACAGACTTCAACATAGATCACTTCAAAAACCACTTTTTTTGGGTTCAGGGGGATATTTAACAAAACTCAAACTGGAATATTATGACGAAAACATTACTTTCATTTCTTCATACACTATGTATAGAAAAAGTAAAAGCATGCAAAAGGTATAATTAAATTACTTGATGTATGATGCCAGAAAATCAAATAGTCAAGATTAACATTTCACATTAAACTTAATTGTCTACTAATAGATTTTGGTGTTTTAAAAAGTCATTATGAAATGGAAAATTATTTAAAAAATTATATTAAATACATACAGAGCTGCTGCCTTTAGAATCTGTTTTAGCATCTTCTGTTGCTCTAATCCATGGTATGTCAGGAACTGATACTTCAGGATTACTCTTGATCTGTAACCATAATAACAATTGATTAAAACATTAAATAACAATAACACACTATATTTAGTATTTACTATTTAGGGTAGGCTACGAGATATCTGTGGCTGTACTTCGTTTTAACTGACTCATTTGCTGCTGATATAAACTCTAATAGCTACTTCCCCTAGACGCTTAGGCTACATAAATAGCTTTTCTTGTTTTAACCAAACAAAATGGTTGCTTGTTGTTTTAAGATAGTTTTAGAAAGTGAAACTGTCTACATTGAACTCTGTTTTGTTTAGGCCTACTTTATGTTTATATGTTGTCACAAGCTTAGTGATGACAACAGCAAATAAATCGCACAAACAAAAAAAGTCTGTCTCATCATCCTAACATTACAAAAATACACTTTTGTAATTTAATTAGATCTAAGAAGCCGCCCTCGTTATTCCATTCAAGCTTTGCCCTTGAGGTATTTAAAACAAACATTTACACGTTTTTTCTCAGTTTTGGCAGCTTTATCTCAGTGAGTTTTAAGGCCAGTTGACAGTAAGAGTTATAAAATAACTTGCTAGAATAAATGTTGTGCTTTGGTTCTGCCATAGTGTACGAATAAATTCTTTCAGCAATCTCATTAAAAAGCTTGACTCTTTGAGTTTTCTTGTAAAGCTAGAGTTTTGAGATTCACAAGTTTCAAAATTTAAGATTTTGGCAGTTTTTGTTTTGAAACTGCTGACTTTTTTGAAGCCATTACAATTGTTTATATATAACTTCTTGATCAGCATTGTACGTGTTATTAAATTTACGGAAAGTAGATAAAAGTAACGTCTAATAACAACTAATAAAACTAAGCCCTGGCACTGAATAAAGTTGATTGATTTAATACTTTATTTGTTTATAGTCTAATAAAGAAATCTAGTATAAAAAACATCATTGTTTCATTTCCACCCCGACTCTGATCCATTACATAAGAAGTCTAAATTATTCCAAAATATTTAAAATCAACCTGATGATTTGACTTAAAAAGAAAATAGGCCTACATGGTTATGAAGGGTGCAGAAAAAAAAACCGATCTATTTTCTGCAGAGCACTGTTCAGCGACAGGTCATCCGAGAGTGATGGGAGTAGGCTCGTTGGAAAGCCCCAAGATGCCATTTTTTGTAGTCATAGAGCAGTAGTCGCCTGAGCTAGTGCGGTTGTTATGGAGTCGTTTTTATTAAATAGTGAATTCATTCATTGCTACTCAGCGGCAATTTCATGCTCTCTTTCAATAAAGGTGACATGGAGAAGTTCCGTTGCATAGCACAATAATGCTGAGGGTTACTTACTTTAGGACAACGGCTTCTGCGTTGAAAAGGAAGCTGACAGGCCCTCCAAAGTCAGATCGAACGCCAGGCAACAAACATTTGATAGAGTTTGTGCTGCTGTGGAAAACAGTCCTCGTAGGCTAGCCCGAAAACAAACGGCTGCCTTGAATATGACTGACCGCTCAGTTATACAAATTTTGAGGTTAATTTTTATCTCTATGGATTAGAATAATAATCTTTGTAATTTGGTAATCATCCATACAAATAATCACGACGGAACCTCTCTATGTCGACCTAATTAAATAAAAGCACAGAACTGCCGCTGAGTTGCAATGACTAAATAATTACTTTTTTAAAACGACTCGATAACAACCGCATGTAGCTCATACGACCACTGTTCTGTGACTACAAAAAATGGCATTGTATAGGCTTTCCAACGAGCCTACTCCCACCACCCTCAGACGACCTGTCCCTGAACAGTGCGCAGCAGAAAATGGATCGGTTTTTTTGCCGCACCCTATATTATGATAAATAGTATATTAATTTTTTTCTAACTATTTATGTACAAGAGTGTTAAATTTTATAGAATCGTTCTATTATGTTACCATAGGGAGCAAATGTTTGGATTAATTTATAACAACTAGTATAACAAATTCTTCAAATAAATATTTTCTTGCCTCATCTTGTTCGCTGATTAATGCGGAATAATAAAATATATAGTTTGTACAGATAAATCGCAACCTGTGACTCAGGGTGCAATAGTTTTGAGGGCGCAACAATAAATCACCATAAGAGCCTGTTGTCAAGGGAGGCAGCGGCCTAAACTTAAAATAACAATAGAAATCTAGACAAATTCAAGAAGCAAAACTATACGGTGAAATTATGTGAATGGGATGATAACAAATTTATACCATTTGAAAGGAAGTACTGGATGTATGGAACACTCGTCTACGAGGCGGGTGGTACACTCTTAAATTGCGCAGTTTTGACTCAGCATTAGTTTTGGTTATTTGAGGCTTAAAGGTGGGCACTTCCCTCTCTCCACAACCTTGTCTCTGAAACATGACAAAAAAAAAGACAATTTATATTATAAAGCCTTTTAACTTACACTATTGTTTTTATTCAAATACTTTCCAACAAAGGTTACAATAGATCCCCTCTTAACCTACCACCCTTTCTCTTAAAATATTAATTTGTTATAACCGACCTTGTATTGAGAGCAGTTCGGTTTAACCGCAGCTTTCTAGGAATCTAGGAACACTCGGCAACTCTACACAATGTTACTAAGAATAAGTTATTTTGTATTCATCCTAAAAAAATAAAATCCATGTTGCTGTTAATACTGTTCAATGAAATGGCGACCATACATAGTAGGTATTTTAAGCCAAGTATGAATGGAGATGAGTGTAGGATGAGTGGCGCGATCTTGTAGTCTTGTTAGTGACTAAGGCCGACATTCCTTAGACACAGCTGTTAATTAATAGCCCATACAGCTAATGGCAACTAAGGGACCTACAGTTTATAGTGGAATCCGAACCACATCTTTTCCTTGGTATATACGAATTGGTCTAATTATCAGGATAGTACTGCGGATAGTCGTAGTACACACTCGTGCGGGCATTAATCCACACCAGGGAGTATCACATCCACATTGCATGCCTATAAATATCCACAATTCGTGACCTCCTAGTAGCTGGATTACAGGACGACGCCACCCGTCCCAGTCTCTATAAATAAACATCCTGTCTTGTAACAAAATGTTTGCTTGTATCTTTAATTTCAACAAGTCCTGTACTGTATTACGATAGATTTGGTAAGGATCAATTAATATTATTAAAGGTATTAAAATAAGCATGTTTATTGACTACTGCCTACGATTATAATTTATTCCAATGAAAGTTTTTGACTTATTGTGTTTTGGGTTTATTTGTGATATTTCTACTGTCAATACTTAAGAAAAAATTAGATAAGTGTAGTTCGTTTTGTAAATAATGCACACACAACTTCGGAATGGTGATTATATAATTCCAAATGAATAGCACTTCATAATTTTAGTTTTTAGGGATTGCCCATTTAACTGACCTAGGTCCGGTCCCATTGGGGTCAGTTAAGATGGGGTATACTGTATTATCTGCAAGTATTGTACTGTAGGCCTACTGAGTAAAATACTGTATACTTATTGAACAGTGAATAAAATAAATTTAAAAATGTATATGTTTTTAGCTAGCTGATCTTATTCAGTAATAAACCTACACAGATCATCTCACACCATTCTACACCATTCCTATGAGTGAGTTTGTCCTTCACTCATATTTGGGTTGAAATACGCACCTAAGTGGCATCCCCATCTCAATTTATTATGATAATTATATTATATTTTTATCATACTATTAAACTTATGTCTTACTAATATTATAAATGTGAAAGTTTGTGTGTTTGTTTGAAGTTCAATCATGCATTAACTACTGGTCGGATTGGGCTGAAATTTGGCATGATGATAGCTCTCATTCCCAATTAACATATAGGCCTATTTTAATCTGAAAAATCCTTTCCGGCTCTGCTCCAGTGGCTCTGGAGTTTCCCATGTTAACTTTATGAGTAATCATATCTTAAAGGAATTAAAGAACCTTAACAGGCTGTTTCAACTTAACAAGTTCGTTCCATAGTATTAAAAGTTACTAGGCTTACCAACAGGGTGCAGCACTATTCATTTTTTGTTTGAATTTATGTGACAACAGCTAATTTGGACTAAGGAGTGTAAAAAAGCTGTGATACACAATGAGAACTGTCAAAGTAGGATTGTTTACAGTTATGACTTGAATGAGTTTTTTGTAGAAAGTGCCAACATGATATTCTAGTCATTATATTTATTTTGACTGTAATTATATTTATTCAGTATTCATCTTATAACTCTATGCATCTATTTAACTGTACAGCTATTTATTTATTGTAGCGTCTGTGATATGATAGCCTTTCTATTTTGTATGCAAAAATGTGACTGTGATAATGTATCGCTATTGTTTTATATGTTTGTCTCTGACGAGGTCTATTGTAATCTATGATTATTTAACGACCAATAAAATACTTGATTACTTGCAGGGTGTCTACCAGATTTCTCAAATGGAATTCCCGACTTTTTCCCGACTTTTCATTACCATTTTTATATAAATCCCGACCAAAAACTCGGTCCATTCTCCATGTTACTACACCTTTTTCCGTCTCGCGGTCACGGTACCTTCGTCAACATATGTTGTCACTTACGACCCAGCGAAATCACTGATGATCGAAACGTATCACATGCCAAGAAAATCCCGTATTAAATGTAGGGGTGTGTGAAACAGCAAAACATTTCAACTCAAAGCAACGATTCGATTTAAAAAAATGCTGATATAACTTGATTTGAAGCAACATGGAATTTTTCTATTCATACTTCTCAGTGGAGTGAAATATCTGTTTTCAATCATACATTAGAAGAACCAGTATTTCTGGAAATATCAGTGAGCTTCTTGCCTATTTCATAATTTTTACTTGCAGCATCATGTTGTTAAGTATGTTACCTATTTTATTTTATTCATTTTATAAATAAAGATATGTTTGGGTGTAAACAAATAAAAACCTTTGTAAGATTTAAATACTGAATCTTTCAATTGGTTTACATTGATAAAATAAGAGGATAGAATCAAAACTACAAGGTATACATAACTTCTTGTATGGCGAAGCAATGTCTCAGTGTATGCCATGTACTTGGATGGCAATAACCTGTATGGTCAAGCAATGTCTCAGTGTATGCCATGTACTTGGATGGCAATAACCTGTATGGCTAAGCAATGTCTCAGTGTATGCCATGTACTTGGATGGCAATAACCTGTATGGCTAAGCAATGTCTCAGTGTATGCTATGTACTTGGATGGCAATAACCTGTATGGCTAAGCAATGTCTCAGTGTATGCCATGTACTTGGATGGCAATAACCTGTATGGCTAAGCAATGTCTCAGTGTATACCATGTACTTGGATGGTAATAACTTGTATGGCTAAGCAATGTCTCAGTGTATACCATGTACTTGGATGGTAATAACTTGTATGGCTAAGCAAGGTCTCAGTGTATGCCATGTACTTGGATGGTAATAACTTGTATGGCTAAGCAATGTCACAGTGTATGCCATGTACTTGGATGATAATAACTTGTATGGCTAAGCAATGTCTCAGTGTATGCCATGTACTTGGATGGTAATAACTTGTATGGCTAAGCAATGTCTCATCTCAATGAATAGCTTATATAATTAATGTCAATCATTTGAATAATGTCAATAAGTTAAATGGATACTGATAGTCAAACAGTATCAATGTAACAGTCAACTACGTATATGGATACTGATTCAATGACGTATAGACACTGATTCAAAAAGTTATTTGGATAATGATTCAATAACGTATATGGATACTGATTCAATACCGTATATAGATACTGATTCCATAACGTATGGATGCTGATTCAAAAACGTATATTATGGACACTGAATGCCCATGATTCAAATCGTTATTTTGATCATCACTGAATCGAATTGGAATTCCGATGCATTTTCGTTTCATCCCCCACCCCTCAAATGTAATCCCGTCCCAATGATCAGGAATATAAGATCCAGAACATTTTTTTAAAAGTTTTGGGACCCGTTCATCCCTAATTTTGAAAGGTTAGATTATTCCCGACTTTCGGCCGAAATTCATGACTTTTTCACGACTTTTCCTGACCTTTCAAAATCCCCGACTTTTTCCCGAATTTCCCGGAATTCCCGACTGGTAGACACCCTGACTTGATATGTTTATGTTTTTAATTCAATAAACAATTTGTGATATTCCCAATCCCACAACAGGGTGTTTCTATTTTTAAGTGTATTCATCAACTTATTAACCGTACTTAAAAAAAAAAAAATTGTGTTTGTATTTATGTTTTTCACCAAAAATAATATCTGAGAAACGAGTAGCCCATGAATACTTTTAGTAGGTACATTACTGATCAACACAAAGACTTGAATAGAAGGAACTAATATTATAGATGAAAAAGTTTGGAGTATATTATGTTAGTAACGTGAAAACTACTTGACCAATTTAGCAGATTTTTTCAATAAATAGAGCCAATATACAGCAGAATAAGTAAAAAAAATGCCCCTGCCGCAGCAAACCTGCCGACTGAGCAAATTTTCATTTGTCTAAATCGATTTTTAATGAAATCTATTTAAATAACATTAGGTTTAACGATGACCTAGGTTTGGTGCTACAAGGAAACTAATAAAGTGTGTGTGTTTTTTTTTATATTAATAGTTTAGTATAAACAAAATAAATTTCCCAAGTTTGATCAAAATATATCCATAAACAAGCAATACATTTTTTTCTGTTACCAATAAACAAAAACACTTAAATATACAAAATTATAAGATTTTAAGCTTTTTAAAAAGGTTTAGTGAGAAATTGGAAATTTCATTTTCTAAGGGTCAAAAATGAGAAAAACCAATTTTTACCCCATAAAATCCTCTGTAAAACCCCATTCCCATGGTCTGATCATGCTGGTTCGCAAACTCATTCAAGTTTATCCTGCCTTACACCTTCAAACCAAATTTCATCAAAATCGGACAAAAATTACTCAAGTTATCGTGTTCACGGACACACACACACACGAATAGGTAGTGAAAATTTGAACGAATAGTGTTTTTGGCCTCTGGAGAAATTAAAATGAAAAAAAGTAAATCGGTCTCAGGCCTAGGTCTTACCGTGCCACCTACGGTAATAGCTACTTCCCTATAGGGAAATTCGCTAAGTCATTTATACTTTCTACTCCTATACATACTATATGGAGAAAGTATTGTTATTGTCAAAATTTTCGAGTTAAAGTTTTGAGTGGATATATCTGTTTTTGATCCCCTCGAACCCAAAAAGTGGTTCTCAAAGTGATGTCTGTCAGTGTGTGTGTTTGTGTATATGTGTCTGTCTGTATGTATGTATGGATGTGTAGAGAGCTACAGGCCACACCTGTGGTCCGATTTTGATAAAATTTGGTATTTAGGTACTTCCACCATGGTATATCCTGGAGTTTTTTTTTATTTTAGATGTTTATTTTCCCTTAAAACCCCATAAAATAACAGAAATATCAATTTTTCTCAAAAATGGCCTGAACGATTTTGATCAAAATTTGGTATACGGCCTTTTAAATTCTGAACCAAATGGTACAACTGGTTCAAAAGTCATTGTGCCTTATAGGCTATTATTTTACCATCAAAACCCATAAAAAAATGCTTCTGATTAAAACCCATTTGATTTGTTATGGTCCGTATAATTCAAAACAATACAGTGCAACTCCCCCGATTCCTGTAAAAATTACAGTTAAAAATTTAATGCAATTTTTGTGATTTTACCTAGTTACTCTCATCGGTTGTTGACAAGCTAATGTGAGAAAGTATGTGTCAGATTGCTGATACTGTTAATTTATTTTAATACACTCATAGGGCTCTGCTCTGACAGCTTGCAAAGTTTCTATGTTATTCTTACATTACTTTTAATATTCAAATTGATATAAACCACAAGTTTGGAAATGATTTTGTTGGTGCTTTATCAAAATTGTGGACATTTATTTATAAAATAATAAATTCTCATACAGCAGATCTAGAACAAGATTATTCTCTTTAGCGTCCCGTTTGCGAAGCACGGATATGGCGGCTAGTTATAGAATAATTTGAGGATTAATCAAATTTGCCAATATAGTACTGACTACCCCAGTGTAGGAGTTATGTACAAGTATGCTTAAATGAATTTGAGTTCTCAAGTGACTTAAATACCATAGCATCTGGACACTAAACTTATTAATAAAAATGGCTTGTTAATACTTAATTGAATCAAAATTTTTTGATTTTAAGGATCTAAATAATATCACACTTTCCTCGTTTGGCAAACTTACACTGCATTTGCTTGAGCTCAAGGAAACTGATGACTCGCTCTGCTTCTGTAGGAAAAATTCACTTTCTTTTTTATTCCTAAAAGCAAATAACATCACAAAAAATAAATACATTACTCAATATGATTGCCAATTGTATATAATCAAAACAATTACAAAAACACATATTATTTGGTGCATATTCACTCTGAGCAACCAGCACTTGTGGTAATCCAAAAACTAAACCATTGGGTTTAAATGCCTTAAAGGCAGGTTTACAGTGGATGTATCATCATAACCTCAAGATTATTGGTTCAGAATTAAACATAAAATCTTAATTATTCCACAACAGCACATAATATTAAGACATAAATAGAGTAAAATGTGTTGCTGATAATTATATAGTATATTTTTGAGTGTACAAGTGTGTCTGCATTAGTGATAGTATTTTTATCACAAATTAAGTACAGTCAGTTATTTTTTAGCATTTTTATGACAATGTCACAAAAAATGCAGAAGAAAAGAAAAGAAAGTACGGTATATGCCAGCTTGTGAGTGCTGGAATGCCTCTTTCACTCCCCTGATAACATCAGTCTATGGAATCTTAGGCAACGAATTTCAAACACTCATAAGAGCACTGGCTGAGAGGTTGTTAGATAAATGGGACAAGCCTTACAGTCTGGTAGTTAATTGGATTAGAGTGAGATTGACTTGCTCAATTTTAAGGGCAATGAGCATGTGCTTGAGAAGATCGAAGAAAAAATAGAGATCTGCTCGAGAATTTGAAGATGGACATTCAACATATACAGGGTTAGTAAAAAGTGTGGAGACCCCCTGTTATTTTTTTAACGGCCCATACTAGAAAAACTAAACTCGGCACACCATTATGGCATGTTATGAAGTACTTTTTGGGCATAACCGCCACTTGGTGTTCATCCCCAAAATGGGGGATTTTGGGGGAAACTAAAAAATTTCAAACACAAAGACCCATCGAGTGACCCCTCTTTTGAAGGTCCTAATAAAAGAAAACCAACAACGCAAATTAGAGGTCTCTATCTCAGTTCAGTACAAAATGGCAGTCAATTGAAATCCTCATAAGTTCCCAAACCTAAAATGGGGGATTTTGGGGGAAACTCAAAAATCTTAAATGATAAGCCCCATCGAGTGACCCCTCATTTTGAAGGTCATAAAAAAATAAAACGAACAACGCAAACTATAGGTCTCTATCTTAACACAGTAGAATATGGCAGCCAATTGAATATAAAATTGCAAGTTATTTCCGATTTCTAAAGATTTCAATCAGCTTCCATTTTTTACTGGATTGAGATAGAAACCTCTAGTTTGCGTTGTTAGTTTTCTTTTACCAGGACCTTTAAAATGAGGGGTCACTCGATGGGGCTTATCATTTAAAACGTTTGAGTTTCTCCCAAAATCCCCCATTTTGGGTTTGGTAAGCAAGTGGCTATTAGGCTTAAAAAGTACTTCATAACATGCCAAAAAGGTGTGTAGAGTTTAGTTATCCTAGTGTGAGCCGCTACAAAATTTACAGCTGGTCTCCAGGCTTGGAAAGCTGTAAGTTAAATTTAACTTCTGAGAATTTCAATTGGCTGCCATGGATTGAGATAAAGACCTCTAGTTTGCGTTGTTGGTTTTCTTTTACCAGGACCCTCAAAATGAGGGGTCACTCAATCGGTCTTTGTATTTGAAATTTTTGAGTTTCCCCCCAAAATCCCCCATTTTGGGGATGTACACCATGTGACGGTTATGCCCAAAAAGTACTTCATAACATGTCATAAAGGTGTATCGAGTTTAGTTTTTCTAGTATGGGCCGTAAAAAAATAACAGGGGGTCTCCACACTTTTTACTAACCCTGTATATTGAAAGAATCAAAATGTTTAGTAACATTTGTAAATCTAGATTTGATCTTGTAATTATTAATTGAAATAAAACATTGTTCTTTTTTAACTATATAAAGAAAATGACAACGATGCCAGTGTGCCAAATACATATTATTTTTGTTAGAAGTATGATAATCTACAACAATAACTATTTTCCTGGCAAACTCATTACCTGCCAGATTATCAGCAGACTTAGTATGCTTAAAAGGATCATTTAAAAAGCCTGATATAGGAGTTGATAAAACTTTTAAGTAACTGAATATAACGTCATTCTAAGCTTTAAAAAAGCATATAAGTTACCTTAATTTCATTTAACTAACTGTTAACATTTAAGGGTACAAATGACTTACCAAGTATGATGTTTAGATGTATTGTGTGGCTTAGGTCTGTGAGAAAAAGGTGGGCCAGTGTCTATGCGAGGTTTAGCATTATAGATCCGGCGATAGTGACTCGACATATTCTGGTACATAATAGTTTGAGCTACACCATTTTTTGGATAGACTGAAAGAAACAAATTATTTGTTGCTTTAATACATGCAGATGCATAGTACTTTATATCAAAGTTTAGCTACAAGAGTAAGGATACTTACACAGGTTAAATCCTGTAGTTCGATCTAAGTACAAAGTAGCCTATAGGTTACTTATTAAGTATCATTAAGGAATTAATGGATTCATTTACACTATTGGAAACAAATAATCTCATGATTGTAAGAGGCAAAATAGTTTCACAGGCAAAGCTACGCATAATTTTCTTAAGTACCAATAAAAAAACAAATTTTCTATTTTTGTCAGATAACAGAGACAAAACATGGAATTACATATTAGATATAAATAATATTCTAAGCATAGGCCAAATAAAAATTATTATTCAAATTATTGTCAGCAGAAATGTTTTGAAATAGTTATATAAAGATTGGTAATATGATTTTTTTTTACTTATAGAAGGAATAGGTTATTTTGAAAACGTTTTTATTTGAGTTCTACTGTGACAAGTTATTGCAAAATTTTGAATAATGATAAAGTAGATAAGAGATGCATATGGAATTTTCTGTTCTTTAACAATGTGTCTGTTATTATTTCGGTTTTTTGTTTTTATTTTCTACAGATTTTTGGCCGGTGCTACCCAAGAGCAACAATTTCTTAATCTCAATCGTACCTTCATAGTTGTTTATTCTTTTCATAGCTTTGATCGACGACTTCATGTTCCTGTAAAAGTCACACATACCGGATATATAAAACAGAAACTACAAAATGAACACACTATGTAATTTATCCTAGATTCAACAAAGCAGTTTAGCCTGGCAGGGTGTTGGAGATTGCATGTGTTATGGCACCTTCACCCCTCTTGATTATACCCCCTCATTGATGATACAAACATGACTTGCACACCTCCTGCTAGCAACAGTGCCACTTGAAAAATCAATACACAAGGTCTACACGCTAATCATCTATTAGGTCAATACTGCCCCTACGGTATTTTCACACCTCTTGGGTAGACCGATTGTTAGAGACACACACAATTCTGTACATAATGTTGTACATGACATTGAACAAATTCTAAGTTTGTGGTCTATGCCTAGGTTTTTTTGCAATAAAAGTAATAAAAATACAATTACCTGTAAAAGTGAACAAAACATGCTTTAAAAATATACGCTTAAGATTATCGAACTTCAACTAAGCTTATGCTAATGTTTCATATTTCACCATACTTAATTAAGCTTTCATCAACAAATCTTATATATTAAAACGTGACAGGGTTTTTTTGTATTTCACGATTCTGAATCAACCACTTGATGGATTTTCATGATTTTTGTGTTGAAAGAAAGATAATTTTAAAGGCAGGGAATGTCAAAGCCATGATTTTAGTTTAGAGTTTCAGTGTTTTTCGAAATTAAGTTTTAGTTTTTTTTTTAGTCTAGCAGCCCATGCTAACACTTTAAATTAGTTTCAGTGCTGTTTGAACTAACAGCTGGTTTCAAACTGTCAATGTGATGTTTATGTTTCAAGTTATTTGTTTACGAAAATATTTATCATTTATCAAACTAAACATATTAAAATGTTGTTTTTTCTCTACTCTAAAAATCTGCGTTATCAGGAAATGTGTAATTTTAAACTATACCTCTCAAACCCTTGCGTACAATTAAGTTTTGTCGTTAATGCAATCTGTGTAAGTATAAGTTTAAATGCCATGAAAATTTGAACTTGTGTATTGTCAGCAAACTATCGCTTAATCGTTTAAGATATAAGTGGTTTACATGTTGATACTTCTTTTTCTTGATGATCGAATGTGTGTATGTCGGCAAACCAAAATTGTGGTAAGTACTGTGATGAAAATATCAACCGCGGTAGTAGGTCTCTAGGAAACTGTCCAATAAGCTGCAGGGTGTCAGTAGAAACCAAAATCAATTCATACCATACCATGACTATCCCAGTAATACTGTATGGTTCAGAAACTTGGCTACTGACCAAAGAACCGATAAACCTTATTGCTGGGTTTGAGAATAGAGTGCAGAGAATGAACCAGTTCAAGATAACGGAGGTTAAGATAAAAAAGAACAGAGAGCTAAGAGATATTTATTTATACCCAGATTTAAGGGTGCTTTCCAAAAGTAAAAGGCTCGGATGGGCAGTCTATGCGAGGTGGAGGGAAGATACATAAACTTTGAAAAGTGTATTCCAAGGAGTACCACAAGGTAGACGACCACTTGGAAGACCAAGAATATGCAGTGGAAAGACCAAGTAATGAAAGACATCTCCAGACTGGGATCTATATTAGAAGAGGCCGGGGATAGAAGAGAATGGGAGGCCAGAATCCTCTTTTCAGTGGCTTATAATCAGATGAAAGAAATAGATGGTCATGTGCATTTGTTTACATAAGATGATTTTCCTTATTAAAACTGACAGAATTTGTCATTATGTATACTAGGTGTTCTGAATTATATTCAGTTTTAATTGACTACTGGATTCCCATACCTATACGGGCCATCAGCTCGTAATTTTATACTAAAACTGTATACATAATTGATAACGTGTTGTATTGTTTTTCATGTTTAGACAAAAAAAAGACAGTAGTTAGTTATAAATAAGATTGTAAATAAAACGGAATCAACCAATGGTAACGTGTGCTGCTTCTAATGTTGATGGCCAAATAATTCACTCAGCTCTAAGATTGAATATACAAAATTTTAATAAACTACAGGGGGAAATAAACTTAAATCTTCAGATTTTGTTCAAAAACGTCCATGTCATAGTTTGCGATGAAGTAGGCCTAGTATCTATGTACGTGGTCATAAGCTATAGTACTAGCAATGAATGATAAACAAACGCTTGGCTTACGTCAAGGGAAACTAGACAACTAAGATGGAGTGTTTGGTGGTCTTATTGTATATCTGTTGGATGATATGGCTCAGTTACTACAGGTGCAAGATGAGGCTTTATGCAAGCCACATGATCTTTCAAATCAGTGGTGTATACACATGGACGTTTAGTATATGAACACATTCAACAAGTTTTTCAACTAAAAACTATTATGAGTCAATCCGGTGAAGATCAAAGTCATTTTTGCAATCCTCTTACTATTATTGATCATGGAACGAAGGAGAGAACACCCCATAAAACCCTGTTCCCATGGCCTGATCATGCTGGTCACGAACTCATTCAAGTTTATCCTGCTTATACCTCCAAGCCAAATTTCATCAAAATCTGACAAAAATTACTCAAGTTGCGTTCACGGACGCAGATATATATAAATTTTAAAATATGTTGATGATACCCAAAATTCAAAATTCTGGGCCTTTAAACAATTCCAAACACGGCTGTAATCCATGTCACAAGCCTCGATACAGTATTTGCAAACTTATGAGTAGTACAACTGAATTTGATAGCTGTATTACGTGTAAACATTGCAGGGGCGCCTCCAGAGGGCAGGCTAGGTAGGCCCGGGCCTACCCAAAATGTTGGTAGATATTTCAAAATTATAAATAGAGAAAGAAATTTAATTATATGTAAACTAAGGGAAAGTATTCAAAATAATTATTTTCCATTAACATTTTAAAATTCCCCTCTTTTTGTGGAAAAGCCCTTTAAACCTCTCGTCCCCCATATCAAACTCTTTCTTGATCCTTGTGAGGCCTACCCAAAAAATTATTCTTAGAGCCGCCCCTGAAACATTATTCAAAAGAATACATTGGCCAGACTTCGAATGACAGGCCATCATTTTGATGTGGTACACAAAAACAAAAAGCCTTAGTTTGGTTGGTTAGGTTAGGTTAGTTTAATTTTATAATTATTAAACTTTTACAAATTAATTTTATAATTTTTTTTTTAAAGAGGTTGGCGGCCTCTTTTAACCTTGCATTTGCCCGTCCACATAGACTAAGTGCCCGTGCGTGGATCGTTTACAGCAAAGCAAGGAGTGAGCCGGTACAGTACAAAGGTGAACTGTACTGATAAAATGTTATCGGCAGTAACCAGGATCCGAACCCACGACATTGCTGCCTTGCGCCCGAAATCCGCGACGCTACCGACTAAAAAAAATCTAATTAAAAATCTATATATAAAGCCAAAAGTACCCATGAACTTTTGAGAAAACTAAAAGTCACACCCCCATAAACCATATACTTAAAATGTTCGCCATGATGAGAAACCTTGCACAAAACTATCCATTATTTTATAAATTGCCCTTTAAGGTCGTAGTTCCTTTCTAAAGGGAACTTCCCATATACCTAATGTTAAAAATACCTCAGCTGTACTTATTTGTATCTTATTCTTTCAATTTATTACCGTATTAAAATCAGGTGTGATTCTTTGTTTGTATTAACTGTATTATGTTTTGTTTATTTCAGCTTAACTTAACCAATCAATAGTTTTATTGATACTTATGAATTCAAACAGGGTGAAGCCCGTGGGTAACAGCTAGTTTACATAACAAGTCTAGAACCATAAAGTAAATACTCTGCGCTAGAACCGATTAATATGGTCAACAACAGAACAGCTTGCTGATTATATAATACTAGTGGAACCCCGTCGAAATCGACGGTTATTCTTGAGGTTTTATGTAAATTCAGCTAACTGCGTTGGATAGAGTGAAGTCATTAAAATCTTAGTTATATGACAGGAGGATAAGCAATAATAAGTATGACGATTGCGTTCCCTAAAAAACGTGATTGATGAATTCGTTTAACACAATATTTCCTACCTTTTTATCGGCTTTAGGTTGCCCAAAAGGTTTTTTAGGAGTCTTAAAATTGTTTGTTCATGAGTTTGTTTCATACCAAAGCCACTTTCACTATATGGGAGAATGAGTTCATACAATTAGTCACAATGTTACGGAAAGAGTCAATATTTATTACTAACCACTAATTCCATCTGCTTTAGGAAAATCATTCTGATTGTATCCAGATTTATAAGTAAATCTTCATCTTTTTTTTATAAAAATATCTGATTCTCCAGAAAGCAGTAACATTCTTACTTCGAATTTTAAATCCTTCTCTTGCCACATCGACCCATGTATTTAATCATCCTGTTCCTACTTGATAATTAATTAACTTATGGGGTAGTTTTGCCTTGGCCATATCAATCACATAAAGCTGTGCATGTTTTTCGTGGATGGAATGAACCATAATTGTAGGAAATTTTATCACAAATCTTGAACATTTGCGGAACCAAATCCATAACCTAGTCCAGCATTGGTAACAAATTATGCAAATGCGATGAGATGTAATGACACTGTTGTGTTTCCGAATGTTTTGTATGTAGTGAGGTTTAGATGCGTTGTTCAACCTAGCTACATGTGTACATCAAAGTAAAAACTGTGTATACATTTTTTTTTAAATACCTGAATTGACATTAGTTCACCTACTTTACCAAAACCATAGACTCCGTAGTTAGTCTATTCCAAAACTTGAACACAGCTCTCATCCTCAACGTACTCATCTATGACACAATTTTCAACCCGATTATCAAAAACTGTTATACCAATAAATGAATCTCAGGTGTTCTTTCTTGAATTTAAAAATAAATGGTGATTGAAAGTAGGAAAAAAAGGCAAGTGCCAACCTTACAATATGTATAAGCTAACCCGATAAGGAATAGTTATATGTTCCTTTGAAATTGATAAGTCACAATTATTTCATAATTTAAAATTTTCTAAGAGCAATAAAGCATAGATTTTTGAACAAAACATTTCAAACGTATCATAAATTCAT